TTTGTCGTTTTCAGTGTTTTTTTGTTCTTTTTCTTGATTTTTTTTCTCTCGTCTCAATTCTCTCTCTTTCTGTTTTTTATTTTATTTTTTTTAGTGTTTAATCCCCCCCCTCTTATCTCTTTGTTTTACTGTTGTTAGTGCTTGTTATGTGCTGTTGCTTGGTTGCTCCTCTCTCTTTGTTTCTTTTCTCTTTTTTATGTTTTGTTTTTTTTTTTTCTTCTCTACCTACTTGCTTACAACTTCTCTCATCTTCTCTGCTATTTATTTTATTATTTTTTGTTGTTATTGAAGAGTCTATTGATTCGCATTCTAAACAAATTAAACCCTAAAAGGCAACTAAAGTGTTATTTATGTATTTATTTTATTTTTTTATTTTATTTTTTTAGTAGTTTCACCTTTCCTTACTAGCTGGGGTCTGGGGCCCCTCTCTGGCTGTATGTAGAGGTATAGGCAGACGATTGTATGCAACTAGTACAAAAGAAAAGACGGAGGTTGTTGTGCATGCATGCATGCATGCGTGCGTGCATGCATGCATGCATGCATGCATGCATGCATATATCTCAGCTGTAGAACAAATACGATACAGTTGAGGAGACAAAGGCAGATGCATGCATTTGACAAGAATAAGAAGAAAGACAAAAGGACACAACAACACTGCACTGTAACCGATAGACGCAGCAGCAGCTCTGTCTGTGGTTGCCTGCATCCATGCATGCATGTATCCATGTATGCAAGCAAAAATGCATTCATGCATACATTCATTCATTCATGCATGCATGCATGCATGCATGCGTGCATGCATGCGTGCATGNTGCATTCATGCATACATTCATTCATTCATGCATGCATGCATGCATGCATGCGTGCATGCATGCGTGCATGCATGCGTGCATGCATGCATGCATGCATGCGTGCATGCATGCGTGCATGCATGCGTGCATGCATGCGTGCATGTGTGCAGTGCAGCTTCATTCAAGATCTACACAATAGGGGAAGGAGAACACCTGAAAAATTCTACAAGCAAATATATATATATATATATATATATAGATTGATTACTATAAATAAACAAACAAACTACAAAGCGAACGAAACGCAACGAAATGTCAGTGCGGTGGTGGGGCGTTTGTTTGTGAGTGCAGCTGGCGGTGATAGAGCTGCAGCAGCATCTCAAGAAGAGAAAACGGGAAAGTATAATAATATTTATATATTTATATAAATATATAAATATATAAATATTTATATTTATCTTTGTTTTTCTGTTCTTTTCTCTGGTTTCTCTGCAGAAGGAGCACCAATATCAATACGTCTTTTCTCCACATGTTGCACGCACTTGAATCTCACTTCTAATACACCTGAAAAAGTTGCACATACACCCGAAAAGCTGCATATACACCCGAAAAGCTGCATATACACCTGAAAAAGTTGCACATACACCTGAAAAAGTTGCATATACACCTGAAAAAGTTGCATATACACCCGAAAAGTTGCACATACACCTGAAAAAGTTGCACATACACCCGAAAAGTTGCACATACACCCGAAAAGCTGCATATACACCCCAACTTGAACGGTGCGATCCTCTCGGAAAGCTGCATTTTCGGGTGAAATTTTTTGAACAAATATCATTAAAATTATAAATTAATTCCA